AAATAGAGGTTGCAGTAAAATCTCTACATAGTGTGTACACAATGCTACAAGAACAGAAGAGAAAATATTGACCATGAGCCATTCACAAGAGAAATAGTCAAGAATGTGTTCCAAATCTGAAACATGGATGCAACTTATATTATTATCAAGAAAAGACTAGGATTAATAATGGTATTTACTAAAAATTTCAAGGTTCAAAAAAAGTAAGAGACATCATCTGAAAACAAGGGGAAAAAGACTCATTTCAGCTCTTGCCAATCCCTTCCTAACACTGACCACATGAATTCCACCACATCATCTCCTTCTCTACAATTCACAAGTGACTTTCCCTTAGCCACATTATCTAAACTCCTCTGCATTTCAATTCCTACCTATGTGTCCATCCTCCTCCTCTCTTTTCTTCCTGTTTCCCCTTTAAAACTGTCAGACCTCCAAGCAGGCTTAAGCATTTTCTCTCCTCCTTTTCACTCCACTGTAACACCAGTAGAGCAGTTACTTTCTTGCACAGCAAGATATTTTCTATATCTTATCACCTTGGCAGGTAGGAAGTTACTTGAGAATAAAACCTTTTCTTACAGTATTTGCATTCCTGGCACCTAACATAATGTGCAACACTAATATATATTCAATAAATATTCTTTAATGAGTGAATGAGTGTTTTTTAGTGAAATAAATGGTTCATACTAAAAAACAGAATAAATATTTTATATTTCAAATGAATGTAAACACATTCCAAATTATTCTGATTTAACAAAAATGTAGTATATGATGCAAATATTTAAAATATAAGAATTAAAATTACATGAGAAATTAGTTTTGAAATTTGTCCTCCACAAACACTAACTATAATGATTACTCTTCTACAAAGTAAGGTGTCAAGATTTTAAGTGTAAACCAACATGTATCAACCACTGATGATCACATAAGCCACTTTTAAAAACCAGACCTTTCCCTAAAAAACAAATGCCAAATGTCTTCTTTGATATAAGGAGAGTAACTAAGAACAGAGTAGGGTTGAAGAGCATGAGAAGAAGATTAACATTAAACAGGGATGAGAGGTGGGAGGGAAAGGGAGAGAGAAGGGAAATTGCATGGAAATGGAAGGAGACCCTCAGAGTTATACAAAAGTACATACAAGAGGAAGTGAGGGGAAAGGGAAAAATAATACAAGGGGGACAAATGAATGTCAGTAGAGGGGGCAGAGAGAGGGGAGGGGAGGGGAGGGGAGGGGAGGGGGGATAGTAGAGGATAGGAAAGGCAGCAGAACACAACAGACACTAGTATGGCAATATGTAAATCAATGGATGTGTAACTGATGTGATTCTGCAATCTGTATATGGGGTAAAAATGGGAGCTCATAACCCACTTGAATCAAAGTGTGAAATATGATATATCAAGAACTATGTAATGTTTTGAACAGCCAACAATAAAAAATTATAAAAAAAAAACAACCAGACCTTTGTTGTATTTTGAAAAACGTACACAGAAATGTTTTCTTAGATAATTTCTTGTGAATTGTAAACTTTCTATTTAGAACAATTGGACTCTTCTTGCATTAAATTCTTGGTTTTGTTCTTCAGTTGATGACATTTGCATAGAAAACAATATCTTTGTTTCTTACTAGATCATCTGCTTCTGAAATGAGATGCATTTATCTTCTTCAGAAATAATTTCCCCTAATTGTGACACAACTAATTTTGGTATTCTAAATATGGGATATCATCATTCATGGCAATGTATAGGAAGGGTAATTGAGTGCCATAGAAACAAAGAATTTGTTTTTCATGACATTCACAAAAACAATTCTATTCTAGAAAATATGATCTTGTATTTGAATAAACAAGAACAGTGTTTCTAAAATTTTACCTAATTCAACCACAAAAATAGAGAATTTTAAACTCCAGACTTTGTAACAAAGAAAATAGTACTTTTAGCAAGAAAATAATAGTTAAAAATTGACTATATAAATGTTAGCACTATTTACAATAACTCAACATATTTTTTAAGATGTTGATGGACCTTTATTTTATTCATTTATATGCATGCAGTGCTGAGAATTGAACCCCGTGCCTCACACATGTGTGGCAAACACTCTACCACTGAGCCACAACCCCAGCCCATAACTCAACATTTCTTAAATGTAAATTTAATTCCTCAATATTTTTGAAATGTAAATTTAATAAACCAGCATGAGTTGTCATATCCATCTATCTTCTTTATAGGATATTTAAATATCATATATCATGCCAGCATCACTGTAAACTTAATTCTACTACATAATTTCTTTTAGCCTTTCTTGTTGAAATCTTACAAAGCATCTATTTTAAAAATTTTATCTGTAAGTGGCTCGAAATTGTGGTTTTTCTTGGTCTATTATGTATGTAGTTAAGAAAGTAAAAGTGGTCTTTCTGGTCAAACCCAGTTAGAATCTGATTATATCTATACCACCTCCCAGCTGTATACAGGTTACATTTAAAACGGGGGTGGGGGTGGTGGGGGTGGGGGGGGGATTCTCTTGTTCCTCACCTTAAAAAAAAAACAAAACAGTTTTGCTATGTATCACAAAAGTTAGTCCAAATATCAAATGAAGTGATAGTTGTAATGCAAATATATAGAATGTGGCTCATAGTAGATGCTCAATAAATAGAAATTACAACCCATCAAAGATTAACACCTCCCTAGTTGGCCCTAGCCATACTAACCTTGGTGTTTGAGGGGAAAATTGAATTGTTGTTGCCTCAGGGTTTCCATACTAGCTGTTCTCTCTGCAAGCTATTCCTTTGTATCTCTGCAAAGGCTGCCTCCTCCTTGTCATTTAGATGTCTGAACAAACATTATTTTTCCTGATCATCCAATCTGAGGAAGATTTTATTTTCCAAAGATGGCTTAGAACAATATTTTCCGTCTCATATGTTCTTCTACAATGGAAGGTGGTGTCTATGTCTCTAGTCTTGAAATCTGTGCAGGCTTACAACTGCTTCAATGAATAAACATGACAGAAATGATGTTGTGTGACTTCTAAAACAAGGCCACAAAAGGAGAATATTCATAGCCACCTTACCATAGTAAAAAAATAGACAAAACTCAAAAATCCATCAACAGCTAAGTTAATAATTCACAATGTGTGTTACAGTCATGCAATAGTAGTCATAAGAAGGAACGAAGCATCAGTAACACAGTACAACGTGGATGAACCTTGAAAACCATTTGCTAAGTGAAAGAAGCCAGACACACAATACTGTACAATCTCATTTATATAGAATGTTCAGAATAATTAACTCTATCGGGACAGAAAGTAGATTAGTGAATGCCTGAGGGAGAGGAAGAATGGGGTGCTGATAAGTATGAGGTTTCTTGTTGGAGTAATAAAAAATATTCTGGAATTGGACAGTGGTAAATGTTGGATAATTATGTAAACAGTTTTTTTAAAGGTCACTGAATCATATACTTTACTTTTTTAAAATTTTTTTAGTTGTAGTTGGACACAATACCTTTATTTATTTATTTTTATGTAGTGCTGCGGATCAAACCCAGCGCCTCATACGTGCGAGGCGAGTACTCTACTGCTGAGCCACAACTCCAGCCCTGAATCATATACTTTAAATAGCGAATATTACAATATGTGAATGGCTTTTCAATTTTCAAAAATATACTTCAAAAATGCATTTTTGAAAAGTTAAACTTTTGATAGTTTATTAGGAATAAACAAAATAAATAAAGAACAAGGCAGCTTCTAACTTGTTCCTAGGATATTCTCTGTTAGAACTTGGAGCCAAAACACTCTGACCCTACATGAAGGGGCTATGTATTAACAGCCCTAAAAAGGTGACAGTGGACATAGAAGCAACTGTCAGATATATGGGTGAATATACTTCCAGGTGATTCTAGCTTCTAGCCAGAGTCAATTCCCTACTGTAGATGAGACCACAAATATAGTGGAGAAGAAATTACTGCTGTCTCCATTTGCATTCCTGACTCAGAAAAATCCATGATCACATAAATTGCATTTTTCACCACACAGTACCGGGGTAGTTTGTTATACAGCAATAGCAACTGGAACATCTTCAATAGCTACCATATCATACCATATCCTTTCCCTTATCTTGCCTTTTTTCTTTTATGGAACTTATTTATTTTTATTCTGTCTCCTTCCATTAGTAGTAAGAGAGTAGGATCCTCCTTTGTCTTGCTCCTGTAATCATATTACCCAGAAAATACCTAATAAATATTTGAATAAAGTAACAAATTATTGTGGAAACCTTAGCACAAGGAGGGCACCCATTTGGAACTCCTATTGACATGAACTCCAATGCAGGTAGTAATTTTCCCAATAATTTCTAGTAGTTAAGTATGACAAAATACTAGAAATCCAATAATCACTATAATCTTTGTTGTTTTATTTATTTTTATTATTTTAGTTGTAGATAGACACAATATCTTTATTTTATTTATTTATTTTCATGTGGTGCTGAGGATTGAACCCAGTGCTTCATGAGTGCAAGGCAAGCGTTCTACCATTGAGCCACAACCCCAGCTCATAATCTTTGTTTTTAACTAAAACCTAAGATGGATTATGAAACTGTGAACATTCTTGCTGAAGTCCTTCAATTTTAATATTTTTGTAAATGAATTAAAATGGGTATAACCAAGTAATAAAATGCATAGCCTAGAAATAAAATTGATTTAATCTAATTTAGTTAGGGAATTTGTACTGATAAACTTAACTTTTATGTGGTGCTGAGGATCGAACCCGGACTGCATGCATGCCAGGCGAGCGCGCTACCGCTTGAGCCACATCCCCAGCCCAAAACTTAACTTTTATATAATCCTGGCCCTAAAATATCTCATTTTAAAAAAGTCAAAACAAAATATATTTTATTCAGGTTGATATCCAGGTAAAAGAAGTACTGCAATTTTTAAGAATTAAAAAATGCTACATGGTTTACTTTATGAAACTTTCTATCAATGCTATTTTCCCTATGAATGGAACTGAAGCCTACCTCTGGTGCCAGATATTCTGGAGTACCGCAGAATGTCTTCATGGTGGCTGCATCTGTGATCCCTTCTTTGCAAAGTCCGAAATCTGTAATTTTAATGTGTCCATCTTTGTCCAACATCAAATTCTCCAACTGTATATTAAAAAATAAACATAAATGGTTTTATAAACTTCAACAATAGGAAAATACAATCTTAAAAAATTATTGAATGCTGAATAGAGTATTTTGGAAAGAGAACATAGAGGCAGTTAACAAAACTTTCAGTACTTACAAACATTGTTGCTTCATGTGTAAAAAGAAACATTTTTTCAAACATTCATGATGACAAAAGTATTGATTTTTAAACCAAAGGAAAGAATGGTACAGCTTTAAAGCCTAATCAACTTTTCAAGCAAATATTAATCCTCTTTTTTTAAAATTTCAAATAAAAGGTGATATAAACAATCCCAAAGAGATGAGTATCTTCTAGATACAGACAGATGGATTTCAACAATTTCTCTTGGGAATCTATCGTACAAAATATTCACATACAGAAATGTTTTTTGGTGATGGTTGTAAACCAAACTTAAATCTCATTTTGTAAATTAAAGTGATATCCTTTTTTGCATTTTTTTGTAATAAAGAAATACCAATCCTTTTAAACATAAAAAAGAATATTGAAGTCAAACATTCAACAAATAAAAAAAATATGTAGCACTAATGTCAAGTGTGAATCTCTTTGAACTTATTAATTCAAAAACACCAAAGGGAGTCTTAGATTTAACCAAGTAGCAAGACTATCTGCCTCAAGTGAAAATGATAAAATGCAAGGCGGCAGGAATGCAAAGCCAACACAACTAAAAACAATAATATAACTGACCGATCTCCCCTTCAGCTTTAACCCAAACTATGATTATCATCACTATTATGGTTTAGATCTGAGTTATCCCCAAAAGCACATATGTGAGACAATGCAAAAAAGTTCAGAGGTGAAATGACTGGGTCATGAGAGCCTTTACCTAATCAGTGCATTAATCAGCTGATAGGAATTAACTGATAGGAATTAACTATAGGCAGGTAGGTTGTGGCTGAATAAACACTAAATATACTGTTGAACATTTCTTAAAAATAATTTTTAGGCAAATTCAAATATTTTACATCTTTTTTATTCTTCTCTACCAGTTAGAACCTAGAAATCAAGCCTAACTTGCTAAATCTACTCAAAAAGTATCAAGAATTCCTCTACTTTTATTTTCTTCTGTTATATCTTCTTTCTCTTCCTCCTGTCTCTGATTTCTCTCCTTTTACCATCTCTTTCAAACAACACCCCTTCTTCATCTTACCTCCCCTAACTTTCCATAAGATAGATGTATATACTGAAGCTTCTTTTGCTTTGTGGAATACAAATTTGCCTTATTCTTAAAAATATGCTGATTGTTTAAATATATGAATGTTATACAATTTTAAAATGCTGGAAAGGAGCTTTAAAACATGACTTCCTTTATTAACATATTACATAAAATTCTTATAAAAAACTTCAAATAATACATGATAATATTAGACAAGATGTGAATGAACTTTCTAACCCATTCCATTCACACCCACATCTTCATATGCTTTATATGCATGAAAAAACATTCACAGAAACATGATAGCATGCATTATTTCTCTACATTCTGACAAAGCTATTTTGAATCATTGCACACAGAACAATCATTGTATATAAACATTGTTTTTCTTTAAGAGATTATAATTATTCACAGTAGCTGAGTTCATCTTGAAAAAAATCATACATGCATAGAACATGACCCATTACATTTCAGTGCAGGTTCCTCCCCTGTCTACCCACTCCACTAATCCTCCCTTTGCTCATTCATTTATCCATCCTAGATTGGTGCTTTCCACCAACACTGATAGGTTAAATTCCCTTTGGTATATTTATATATGCACATATGTGATTTTGTTAAATTTACTCCATCTTTCTTCTCTTTTTCCCATTCCTCTTCTGTCCCTCTCTATCTCCTTCTTCTACTCCACTGATTTTCCCTATATATCCATGGTATGACCTCCCGCCTTCTTTTCCTTGTTTTACTCTAGCTTCCACATAAAAGAGAAAACATTCAACCTCTAAATTTCTCAGTATGACATTATTCACTTAGTATGGTATTCTCCATTTCCATCCATTTATTGGCAAATGCCATAATTTCATTCTTCTTATGGCTGAGTAAAACTCCACTGGGTATTTATGCCACATTTTCTTAATTCATCCATCTTTTGATGGACATCTGGGTTGATTCTGTAATTTGACTATTTTAAATTATGCTGCTATAAACATTGAGGTGGCTGTATCACTATAGAATGATGCTTTAAATTATTTTGAATAAATACCAAGGAGTGAGATACCTGGATCATATAGTGGTTCCATTCCTAGTTTTTTGAGGGGTTTCCATACTGCTTTCCATAGTATTTATACTTATTTTCAATTCCACCAGCAATGTGTAAATTTATCTTTCCCTCAAATCCTCACCAGCATTTATTATTATTTGTATTCTTGATAACTGTCATTCTGACTGGAGTGAGATGAAATCTTAGTGTTAGATTTGTATTTTCCTGATTGCTAGAGATTTAGCATTTTATAATGTGTTTGTTAGCCATTTGTGGTTGTCTTTTAACAAATGTCTATTTAATGCTTTTGTCCATTTATTGATTGATTTGATTTTTGGTGTTAAGATTTTGAATTCTTTATGTATTTTGGATATAAATCCCCTATCAGAGGAGCCTTTGGCACAGATTTTCTCCCATTCTGTAGGTTCTTTATGCTTATAATAATTTCCTTTGATGTGTAAATGCTCTTTAATTTGATCACATCCCATTTGTTGATACTTGGTTTTATTTCTTGAGCTTTAACGAATGCAGTACCTGCACCAATATGCTGGAATGTAGACCCTATGTTTTCTTCTAGCAGCATCAAAATTTCTGGTCTATTCTCAAGTTTTGGATCCATTTTGATTTGACTTTCATGAAGGATAAGATATAGGGATCTAGCTTCATTCTTCTACAAGTGGATATCTAGTTGTCCCAGTACCATTTAAGGCTATCTTTTCTCCAACACCTATCTTTGGCATCTTTGTCAAGTATCAGATGATTATGTGGACTTATCTCTTTCTCTTCTATTCCTTTGGTCTTCATGTCTATTTGATGCCAAAACCATGCTGTTTTTGTTATTGTTTCTCTATAGTTTAATTTGAGTTCAGGTATTGTGATGCTGCCTCCATCACTTTTCTTGCTCTGACTTGGTTAAACTATTCAGGGTCACTCATTCTCCCAAATGAATTTTAGATCTATTTTTTCTTGTTCTGTGAAGAATGTTATTGGTATTTTGATGGGAACTGCACTGAATCTGTATATTAATTTAGGTAATATGGACAATATTAATTCTTCCTATCCAAGAGTAGGGGAGGTCTTTCCATCTTCTAAGGCCTTCTTCAATTTCTTTCTTCAGTGTTCTATAATTATCATTGGTGAAAGATCAAGAGACCTTTCATCTCCTTAGATTAATTTTCAATTAATTTTTTGAGGTTATTGTGAATGGGATGGTTTTCCTGATTTCTTTCTCTGCAAAATTACTACTGAATATAGGAAAGCTATGCATTTATGAATGCTGGTCTTGTATCCTGCTATTTTGTTGAATTCGTTTATCAGCTCTAGAAGTCTTCTAGCAGAGTTTTCTGGTCTTCTTGATATAGGATGTCATCAGCAACAAGGATAGTTGATGTCTTCTTTTCCTACTTGTATCCACTTAATTCCTTCTCTTGCCTGATTGCTCTGGCTAAAGTTGTTCCTGTTTTTAGAGGAAATAATTTCAATTTTTCTCCATTTAGTATGATGTTTGCTTTGGATTTATCATATACAGTCTTTATAATGTTGAGGTAAGTTCCTTCTAATCTTAGTTTCTCCAGTGCTGGATTTTATCACAGGTCTTTTCTGCTTCTATTAAGATTAACATAGGATTCTTGTCTTTAATTCTAATTATGTGGTGAATTACATTTGTTTATGTTGACCAACCTTGCATTCCTAGGATGAAACCAACTTGATTATGGTGAATTATCTTGAGGTGTTTTTTTAATGCTATTTACTACTACTTTATTAAGAATTTTTGCATCTATGGTCATCAGGGATATTGATCTGTAGTTTTCTTTCTTTGATGTGTCTGTATTTGATCTTGGTATCAGGGTTAAACAGGCTTCATAGAATGTTTTATATAGTGTTCCCTCCCTTTCAATTCCATGAAATAATTTGAGAAAGACTGGTGTTTTTCTTCTTTAAAGGTCTGATAGAACTCAGCAGAGAAGTCATCTGGTCTTGGGCTTTTCTTTGTTGGAAGGCTTTTAATTCTATTTCAATTTCATTAGTTGATTGTGATCTATTTAGGTTTTCTCTATCTTCCTGGTTCAATATGGGCAGGTTATACATCTTTAGAAATTTATTAATGTCTTCTAGACTTTTCAGTTTATTGGAATATACATTTTCAAAATAGTTTCTAAAGATTCTTTGCATTTCAGAAATAAACACCATTTTTAAATATTAAGCTATATTAAAAAAGACTTGCACCTAATTTTCTACTTTGATATATATCAACTCTGAATCTCACACTAAGGGTTAAGGGATCAGAAATAAAATGTGATGTAGGGATAGAGTTGTGTGAAGAATAGGATGATGGTTATCGACTACCCCTATCAGCCAAGAACTGAGAGGTTTCTTAGAACACTAAACTTGAAAGTGTAGTCCTGGACAAACCAAGACACTTGGTCACCCTGCTTGCTTTGTAAATCAGATTTTTTAAAATTAGATGATGTAATAAGACCTAAGGTAAGCCAAAGGATGATTGTGAGATGGAATGAGGGTTGTGTCAATGGGGCAAAGTCTTATAGTACATGAGAGGCCATAAGAGCAAAATGGATAAGAATACTGGTTCAAGTTCAAGGGTTTTATATTAAAATCAAGCTTTACTCTTTCTTCCTATGTGATCTTGGACATGTTAATTTCTATATGCCTCAACTTCATCTATAAAACAGAGGCAAACAATAAAAGTAATCCAATGTAAGATTCTGAGAATTCAAAGAGACTTTGACAGGAAAACTTAAATTATAAGC